AGAATGACTTGATATCTAATTTTAATCGTCAATAACGTGTCTGTTATGTCTCAGTTTTCTTAACCCTTCATAGCTTTGAAAATTTCCAAATCTTTTTTTTTCTGAACTCCCAGAATGCACTTGGGTATATATGCACTTTTTGAGGTCAATTGAAAATAATTCGATGAAAATAACGTAAATAGCACTCTCCAAATTCAAAGAGCTTAAAGGACATCTATTTGTTCAAAATTCAAAGAGCTTAAAGGACATTTATTTTTTTTCTTTTGAAATTCGAAAGTCAGTGTTTTTCTGTTTTCTTGCGTTCATTTGGCAGTTGAACGCAACTGTCAGTTGGCTATGTTATGTCATACTGAAACCCTTTCAGTCGTGTTTCGATTGATGAAAAAGAAATTCAAAAAATGTCTCAGTGATAGCTTTAATGCCCAAAAAAACGGCAGAATTTTTTTTAAATTGTGATTTTTGTGGTTAATACCTTGTCACTACTTAATTTGCCTAGAAACAGGACCGTTTTATTTTTACACAGGCAAAGCTTGTGTGTTATAACGAACTCTTTTTTTTCCAACTTAAATCGCAATTATTAATGCTCTTTTTGAAAGTGCTCTTTTATTGCAGTATATGCATAAGATCAATAACCAGCGATTAAGTACAGCAAATGCTAAGGATATTAACACACACCATTGTATTACAAATAGCACTTTAGCTTCAAGGTGTTATGGCTCTGTAGCGTAGATGTAGGGAAAAAGACCAGCAGCAAAATAAGAGGGTTCGAACCTCAGAAGGGTCGCATGTTTGTAATGAACTTTTTCGTATACTAGTTAAAATGCGTCCGCTCTATAAATTGAGGTAGTGTTAGTTGGTAAATTTCTTTTCAAATTGACTGGTACTGCTAATGCGTCATAATTGACTTGTGTCACTTAACAGTTATGTAGACTCATAATTGGCGTGCGTCACTTAAGAAATTTTGTAGACTCAAAGTTTTACTCATTCAGCTTTTCCCAGTTGCGTTGTCGGTCATATTTTTGCTTGTGTATGCGAAGCGCAACTTCGCCTCTGTGTTCAAAATTGTTTCGTCATTTTTTGGAGATTGCTGGAAATTTCAGCACATCACCTCAAACAGGAAAATTCTCCATAGTGTTCCCGCTCTGCGCTCCATACAGTTGTTCGCAGAATTGAGAAATCGGTAATGCACCGAACCGAAAGCACCCTTCTTTTAATTTTTTTTGTTCTGAAATTTTGACAGGTATGCAGATTTTTGAAGAACTTCTCTTTGGCTCAATTCTTATTGGTTTTAACGAACCCAATTGCAATCTATGCAGCGACTTTTTTGTAACTCAAATTTGAATTCAAGCTTATCTAACCCGAATTAGGATAAAAACTTGATTGGAAAACATTTAAAAGAAAAGCGAAATAATCTTTTGATTCCTTTTAAATGAAGGAAGGTATACGCAGGCATTAAATTTAGTTTTCTTCAGAAATTATTGATAGAGCAAATACAGCATTCAAAACTCCTTAATTTGCAAACAATTGAACTTAATCACTTTTGATTTTTTTATCAAGTGCAGAAAGCAGAAAATTCGCGTTGTTTTTCTCGTCACTCAAAAAATTTCAATGCTGTGGGATGAAAGGCTTCTGTTTTCGAATTTAGGGGCAAGAATTTCTTAACCGCGCATTTTTTCCCCTCAAGAGTTCAGAGAAAAAATTTTCCCTTAAGTGTCCAAAGACCGCCGAAAATTGTGAATCGTAAGTTGACTTTTAATGAACTTGTGGATGTTATGTAGGTGGTACAAAAACTTTTTTTAGTGTGCAATCCGCTCAGCCTCCTAATATGAGTTTTTAAATTTATTTTGTTTCGTCCTTTTACTTTTTTGGCCATTTTGCCTGTTATTTTAGTTCCTTCAGCTTCTTAAAAGTAAATGGAATGTTAAAAGTAATTTTTGAAAATTCAAAATCAAATCTGCAGATATTCCTTGATAAAAAATAAAAAACTAAAAATGAAATTACCAGGAGACGGGCATGATCCGGACATTGAGCTCAATAGGCAATTATGAGAGACAGTGAAGCAAACAGCAAAAGCAAGGCATCCGATTAGAAGAAAATTTTTGTGCCGTGTATTTAGATCTTTATTTATTTTAGTTGTTAGTCTTATTTTCGTTCGATTTGAGGACTTGTAAGTTGTGAAACAGTTATGTTTACCGCCTTATTTGTTCAATTACCCTCCAAAATGCAATTTTTTGATTTTTTTTTGCTTTTTTGTGAGTTCACGGTCTAGATGAGACCCGTCTCCTTGTCATTCACCGATTTTTTCGTATGTCGTTTCACAATAGTTTTTTTGGTAGAAACTTTGTGCTTCTGCTCGTGCGACACGTTGTAAGTGGCACATACTTTTTGCTGCATATAATTTTGAATGTACGATTTTTTCAATAGGCGCGTTTTTGAGGTAATATTTTAATTGTTTTCTTTTGTGTTCCGTTTGTTTCCTCTCAGTTTTGAGGAAACAATATTTTCACACTTTCGATGTTCCGATTATTTTTTTTATTTTAGCTGAAATTTTTGAACAATTCATTTGTTTTTCTGAGAAGAATTTGTCGTTTGAGATGCTAAGAATCGGAAAATGCTGTTCCGTTCGAATGCTGTTCCTTGTTAGCAAATTATATCAATTTTGGATTGGCTCCTTAACTGAATAAAAAATAATTCAGGGTCCTTGAACAAAATAAGCTAAGCTTAGAAGCTACATCAGTGGGGCGAGGGGTTATTGCTGTATTATTTTTATTGACATTTTCCAGGTCCAACGGACAAGTTTTCCTGTGAAATCAGTTGATTTTATTTACGTTTTTAACTTTGTGCCGTATTTTTTACATAATTTCAAGGCGTGCGATTGGTTCAGTTGTCTGTGTTCAATTGGATTTTTGAGCTAGTGAATAAGTGGTCAGTTTCATTTAATTATTTTTTCTTTCGAACGTTTGAAAATATCTCTCTCTAGCGTAAATGGTGTGAAGCTCTGCTTCGCTTGTGTTTTTGCATTGATATTTTCTGTTTTTTTCTTCTCGGTTGTTCCGGTTTATTTGATAATTAGTGTACCTTCTGTATAAAAATCAGTCGGACTGATATTGAAGCAATAACACATTCTCGTATATTAGAGTTTAAAATTTTCAAAAAGGTTTTTCCATAATTTTCTAAGTGGCTGACTTGAAATGTTTTATTAGTTTTTCCACCTTGTACGTTTTTTTAATTGTTTTTTTTTCATATTCATTTTTTTCCAAGTGTCGCGTAAATGGTTTTTTGCTTTGTCGTCAACAGACGAAGTGTTGTCGCAATTTATGCTTAAGTCAAAGCAATTGCTACAAATACAATTACAGTTCGCTGATGGCCTGTCCCTGTCGCACTGGAACATCGCTTGAAATCCCGCAGGGTTATGTTGCAAGTTTTCCATTTTTTTTCAGATGATTGCTTTTACCTCTTTTCGACTGATTTTTTTTGACTAAACAAAGCTTGGTTTTCCCGCATTGGAGTTCTTTGAATACAACCGAATATAATTGAGTTTCATTGTCAGTGTCCATAAAAAAATGGTTATAATAAATTAAAAATGGTTTTAAATTATTAGTATTTTTCGAAGCAACAAAATCCATTTTTAATCCATTATAATCGATTTTTTTCACTGTTGTGGACACCGAAAATGAAACTCAATTATAATCGTTTTTTTTTGCACCTAGCTGAGATGCGATTTTCAACGCACATAAAGTCTTCTATACGTTTTAAGCTGAATCTGGTTACTTATTTAATTTAATTTTTTTGCTCAACTTCGATATTTTCGTTAATTTTTTATGTTACTCAATAACTGAATTTTGCATCTTGAAATATTAGAATTTTGGAGGGGGGAGGTTAACATTGGAGGTGGGCTAATCCCCCTTCTATTAACTCAAAGCGTTTACCCCTTTGCCCCCCCCCCCCAAAAAAAAACTGAACCGCTCCCCCCTCAGGTGGGGGGGGGGATGTCTCAGGTGTGTGTGGGCGGGGGGGGGGGGGGGCAAACGTTGAGATGGAGGTTGTAAGAGAATAACGGAATCTTTAACACTTTGAGTGTAGGTACAGAAATGTAGTTGGACATACTTTCGCTTTGCAAAGTTTCCGCATTACTCATTTGATACATGCAGAAATTCTTGAAAATTCTGCACGACGCGAAACAAAAACAGAATGGAAAAAAAATCCATTTTAAAGTGATTTTCTTATTATTATATAATCCATTATAATGGATTTTAAATGAACTATAATGCATTATGTTTTTGCGAGAAAAAAATTGATTCAAATCGATTTTTAGTCCAATTTTGTGGTCTGAGCGTAACAGGAATTGATTATATATTGACAATATTTTAGACAAAGAAAAACCATTATAATCGATTTTTTTCCCTTTTTTCTAGTTTTTTTAAATGCGGGCTGTCTCAATAGGATATATTTTCTTAAGCTGGTTTGAAAAATGTTATGAGAATTGTTACATATGGTTTATCAAGGCCTTATTTTATCAATTCCGATATTTTTTCAAACTAGTTGATACATGGCGCAGATAAAAAAAATAGATCCGAAGCTCATATGACGAAATATGTGAGGTAGTTTGAAGGTAAGTCTCGTAAGTATAAGGAATTCTCGTACTATAATTTAATCTGTTTTTTGATTTTTATTACCCTTGCGATTATCAAGCGTTATCAAATCGGAATATAGACTTTTTTCGGGTTTTTCACTGACCGTTTTTTTAGTTCCATAAAAAATGAATTTTTATTTTCAATCCTTCTACATTTTTTTTTTGCTTTCACTAAGGTCTTAATATTGTTCTTGTAAAAAAAAATTTAGAAGAGCGGATCTCACGCTGGGCTTTTGAGTGGATCTCACGCTGTGCGACTTCATCCGCCGATTCGTTTTTTTCTTTATATTTTTAAAACAGCTGAGAAGACCGTAGACAGTGTTGGCTTCTTACATAAACCAGCTTCATCTCTTTCTCAATACAATGCTGAAAAGAAAAAATTTAATTAATTTTTATATAAAAAAAAAGAATTTAATATTTCCACGAATTTCTGTTTTAGCAGATTTTTTGCCGATTTATTTCCGTGTTCAGATGACCTCATATCTAACGTGTGGTCTGTTTTCGGGTGAATTGTATGGTCACAGCTTTAATTGTATGGTCACAAGAGGGCGGCCTTGATCAGCTGTTTTTTATCGGGCGTTAGACTCTGCGGGAAAACTATGTTGAACTTGATAAACAGATCTCCCACTACTTTGCCACTATCCCGCGGGTTCGAAATTTTCATCCCCTCGTTCAACACCTAAGCATTATCAGTTTATAAAACACTCTGTTAAACAGATAAAGAGAGAAACTACATAAATGTCATGTGGATATCCTACAGAAACAAAACTGGGATCTATTTAACAATTGCCCCCCCCCCCCCTTTAAGAAAGGGGGTAATTGTATATTAGATTAAAATAACGCATTTTCGACCAATCAGATTGTAGCAAAATTATAATTCTCAATACAAAGCGCTAATTTACTGCTTTTATTAAGAGAGGTGGCAATTCTTAAGTAGATACCAAAGGGAGGGCGATTGTTAAGTAGACCCTAAAACTGAGTTTTCATGGGTCTAGTTTCCTGTAGAGTATAACCCAAATAAAACCAAATAGATTGCCTTTAATTGATAACCTTTGAAGCCACTTAGGCATGTTAAAAAGCAGTCGAAACATTCGAGGCTAGACCTGATACGTGCAGTCTTGGCATGAACTTACTTCAATTTCTGCAAATGCAGGAAATAAAGAAAATCTTAATATATTGCAAATATTTCAAAGCCAAAACAGTTAAATTACTTCACCCAACAAATAATCTAACTGGTAGTTCTTACAACGATTTTTGACGGATAAGAGAAACTGGTTAACTTGCGAGCCAAAATGAGTTAACAAAGCGGCAAAGCGTTTGAATGATTCATTAGTGCGAGTGATACACTTACTGACCTTCTTCTGGTATCCGTGAGTGATAATTTCGTTCACAGGGATGTTCAACTCCCTGTTGTCCAGGGTCTGGATGGACACGTTGCACCCGGTAAGCGCCTGAAACTCAACACATTGAATGACAATCATAAACTGGATTATGGGTAGCGTATACTATTGCTGGCTTTCAATGAAAAACAGACAACGGCATTCTCCGATTCACTTCATCTTAAACCAACGTCAAATATTTCAAGCATTTATCCGAAATAATTGAGCCGAAATAAACATGGATGATTTGGGAATGTTTGGTTGCTTTGAAATTGTATTTATTCAATTTTTAGAAATTTCTTCGTATAGTCTACGACCACCGTGTTCACGACACTTGTTGTCTATCATTTTTACAAAGCTCGATTGTCCCGACCTTTGTTGCGTCTTCTCTTATTAGATATGCTGTCTTTATCTAAGAAAAATTCAAAAGAAGCACAAGCAGAAACTCACGGATCATGTTAACTATTTCCCCCCTATAAAAACGCATTTCATTTATGCTCAACTGGATTGGCTTTGTATTTTTCAGAAATTTGTTCTGTCGCATTCCTATTGGTTGACGTTATTTCAATTCCATTCCTATTGGTTGACGTTGTTTCAATAAATTTCATCCAAAACTTGTTAACTATCCCCCCCCCCCCCCATTGCAATAGGGGGGAAATAGTCAATATGATCCAAACTCACTTCTCCCAGCTGTATAGTGGCAGTGTAGATTAGGTCGTTGCCGACTCTTTCGAAGCGGGGGTGGGGCTTGTCTTTGAGGATGAACACTATATCGGCGGGCACCGTGTTTGGCCCCTGGTCGCCCTCTTTTGGAAATGTTATTTTAGTCCCTGCCTTCCATCCAGGCTTCACAGTGATCGTCAGAATCTTGTCTCTGATGCTCGAGGTGTGTCCGTCTTCATTCATAACCTATGTGAACAAATTTTCATGATGTCAAACTATTGGATGACTTAATTGTTTAAACAAATGCAACAAAGCCTAATGATAAAACCATTCATTGAATGCAGTACTGCTTTTTTATTATTATATTTTTTATTGAACTAGGCCCTGCTGATCAACTTTTGAAAACTAACACTGATGAGCATTTTGATTACGGAGTTTTCGGATCAATTGAGAAATCTCCCCCCGTATTCAGTTGACCGAGAGAAGTTTTTTGATTGAGTGTCGAAAATAATTCAAAAATCAAAAAAAGTTACCAGGGTTTGTACTCGACGTTCGTATCTAAATATCAAAATTTGCTCCCGTCAGCTAATTAATTAATGTCACGTAGTTACACTTTTATCATCAGTTAAGGTAGAAAAAAGCCGGCTTTGTATTCATATAATTTAGTCCTATTTTTTCAATCTTAAGTTAGTTTTCAGTTTTAATAAGTTTGCTAGTCTACATTCGTTGGAGAATCTGGTGCATGGTTTCATCAATTGAAACTAATTTCAAGTGGTTATGAGCATGCCTCAATACCTATTGAACTATCTTCCCCCAAACGCGCATTGGGGGGGGGGGGGGGGAGATTTCCAAATTGATCCGATGTTTCAATAATTTTCTATAAAAAGGGCAAATAGCTGGAAATTTAGGCGAACTTGAGCAACCTAATTGGTCAAAAAAAACGTTGCTTATAGATTAATAAAAAATTTTTGACTGTTTTTTTTGGTACTGAAATTAAGAGAAAATTGTTTCCGTCGAACATTCTTAGATTAATTAAGTTCGTCAAGATCTATAATCAAAAAAGACATAGAGAGATGCAAAGTTGGAACTGACAAAATTACTTGAAAAGAGCAAATGACCTATTTTAGAAAACGTTTGCATGCAAAAGCTCAGTTTTCAGACAGAAAGTATGTCTCAACCTCAAGGTCATCTTAAATTTCAAATGTGTGTGCAAATCTTGCTACAAAAAGTTTTCGGATTGATCTTTTTAATTTTTTGTTTGTTCCAACTTTTTGCAACTTATTATCTTGCCAACAATTTGGCATTCGGGATATAAAACGCACTCTTCTTGATATTTTCATCTTCTTGATGCAGCCGTGGTATATCTCCTCCAGGGTCAGGTAGAGATCCCGCTCTATGGGGGAGTCCTGCTGCTTTCGCCCCCTCCCGTGCAGACCTCCGAATCCCATGTCCAGCTCCCCATCCCGTCTGTCGTACCACTCTGTAAACAATAGAAACAATTTGAAAAATATCTATTTGATGTGAAACTTGCAAACCACTCTGCAAATAATAGAAACATCTTAAAAAGATGTCTTTGATGTGAAACATGCCTGATCGTACTAGACATAGTACATAGTTTCTACAACAAGAGAAGTTGAGCTTTTTGTCAAAACTAAACGAACCATTTGTCAGTATCTGGGCGGGTGAAGGTAGAAAAATCCCATCAACAAAGTGAGAAGGAACGTTTGTTTTTGTCTACGCTACCCTAACGCAACGTTAGTTTCGGTTTCTGAGATTCGCAGAGGATCTATCAAAGGATATCCAGGCTGTCAAGGATATTTCAATTCCATTATTTTCCCAACAGTCCAGTTTTTGCTGAGCGACGTTCCTGTTTGCGACGCAAGGAAACGTTCCAAAATTTGTCTGAATTTTTGTTTATTTTGCTAGTTTTGGCGTTTTGTTATTTGCAAATGCTTCCTAAGGACGTTTTGTTGCGTAACCAAGATGCATCAAATTACAAGAGATTGAAGGTTAAAAAATGTCGGCCATATGCTCAAAATTATGACCTTCCTTAGTTAACAGGAAACTCATGAGAGTATGAGGGAATATGATTCTTGTTTACATTAAGTACCTGCGAACGGGTTCTGCCCCCCGAAGAACTCGGTGAAGACCTTGAGAGGTTCGTTGTGGAAAGTGTAACCCTGTGTCCAGGCCTCTGTGTGGTCTTGACCCTCTGGAACTCCTTGCTTCAGACCCTCCTCCCCAAACTGGTCAAACACTGCTTTCTTTCTGTCTGAAAGAGGAAATTGAGGGGTCAAAATATGATGATATGAATGTCTCACCCTGCACCCTGACTTCACGTGAACTAAAGTTGTCACTTATCAATGTTATTTTAGTTGACGTTAGAAATGTTTCAGTTTAAACCTTTGCTCGTAAAATATAGCAACTCAAATAAATTCATCGCAGAAATGCACGTATTAAGATGCGTATATAGCAGCAAATTGTAATTAAAAGCTTGCAGACTAGAATCATTAGCGTGAAGCTGCTACTCACTGTCGGAGAGTACATCATAAGCCTCGGCTATTTGTCGGAACTTCTCTGCAGCTCCTTCTTCGCTGTTTCGCTCTGGATGGTACTTCAGGGCCAGTTTGCGATATCTGAAAAGGACCATTGATTGGGATCTCTTAAACTATTCCTCCCTGTGGTACCTAGTAACGAATTGCCACCTCTATTAAGAAATAATTCATTGGTAAGCATATGTGAATTTAACACCTTGTAGCGAATCTCATCCCCTCTTGCAAAAGTGGGAAAGTTAAAGTGATCCCCAGATTGTTCAGATAGGCATTTTTCTTGTGGTTTTAGGGAAAAAAAATGAAGAAAATTGGGTGATATGTTACAATAGGTGGTAGTTTTTAGTATATTGCATGTATTACATTTCAGAACTATTATGCATAATATAGTCATTTCATTTTCAATCAATTGTACATGCAGCTAAGATAGTTTTTGTAAATATATTACTCTGCCAAATAAAATGTTATTCAAAAACTCAAATTTCATACTTCTTTTGCCAAAAATTTGGCCTTTGAAATAAATTTTATATACTGTGCGAAGTATAACAAAAAGCGATCCAGCTATTTAACTTAGAATTACCACCTATTGTAATATATCACTGAAAATTGATTGAAGTTTTGATTGCGCTATTTGCACATGATCAAGTCAAATAATCATTTGAAGAAGGTCAATTTTTTCAGAACAATTGTAACTAGATTGAACATTGTAACTTAATTGAACCCCTGATTTTTAATACAACCTTAATCTGAAAAAGGCTTAGCAAAATTCAGTATGGTTTCAAACTATAAATTTTCTGAAGAGTTCAAAAAAATTGTGTTTAACTTTAGAACCCACTTTTATATTCAAAGTAAATTTTTTTTCGTAGCGGTAAAATAGTCTGCATAGTCAAGTTATTCTGAAAAATTTTTCTCGACAAGAAATTATGAATGCGGAAAACGTCAACGTATTCCGAAAATAGATTTAGAAAATAGTTTCGAAAATAGATCTAAATCTATGGATTTCTGAGCGCAAACAAATTACCAATTGATCCAGTTTTCTCAAAATTGGTTAATTGTATCAAAAAAGTGTCCATAGTCCTTAAAAATCAAAGAGCTTTAAAACTATATTTTTTTGTTTTAAAATTCGAAAGTATTTTTCAAAGAAACAAGTCAATTCTTATTTTTTTGGTTCCTTGGGTTCGTTGACACTTTATTAATTGTCTGCTTTTTTCAGCCAATTCTGCGCCACTTGCCCAGTTACCGGCACCGGCTATCTATTTCTATACTTTTGCTACAAGAAAATTGTTAGTTATGAAACGTTTATTAAACTTGTAGGGGTTCAATTGTTTGCATTTTGTGCCAGTTCTCATCACAAATGTATCCATGTCTTGCTTTCGTATCAAAATTTTTTTCTTCTTTTACAAGGGTCAATCGGTTGCAACAAACAGATTGCACCTTTAGTTTTAAAAATAGTAAATTTCTGCTTGATTCGAGAACAAAAAAAAACAATAGTATTTACTCGTTTACATGATTTGAAACAAATAGTAAGGGGTTATCAGGCCTTGCGACCTATTTCTAATCCCTTTAAAGAGAGCAATAATTTTCAGTAATAAAAATGACATTTTAAGAAAAGGCACGCAGTAGCCTCAATCAAACAATGTAGACAGATGAAAACAAATTAATAATTAATCATTGGATTACGCGAAACAATATGCTACCCATGATACTAACGACTAATTTGAAAAAAAAGAAAGACAAAGAAATTTTTTAACATTGGACCATCTATATTTTAAATAATTAACCTAAAAGTACGAGTTTTAGTTCCCTTAACTACCAAAATAGGTTTTCAGACATCAAACAAGATTTTAACTGAGAGATTTGAAGATACACTTTGGGCTGTTTCTCTTTTTTATCAACAAGATTTTGAATTATTTTTTTATCAAACTTAATAATAGCATAAAAGAAACACTCTTATTCTGTTTTTCAGACATTTCAACGATTCTTTTGTTTTTGTCACTTCTGTTCTGAGGACTCTTATTCTGTTTTCTCCATTAAATGACTTTTGTAGTTCAGTTTTGGTTATTGCTGACTACAAATCCTCATAATGTGACTCTCCTCGAAATTTTGGTGCTTAAAGGCTAATAAGCGGTTTGAGATGAATATTTTTATTGGTACTAAATTCCGATCACATCGTACCTCAAACACACTGTCAAATTTACTAAGATTTAGGCATAGTCTCCATAAAAAGATTTGGTAATTCTCTAATTCTTCAAAAATAGTTTTATTGGCTGTGCCCTATATAAGTGCTCCATATTCGAATACATGCCTAAACATAGGTGGTGTAAAGTTCAAATTTCCTTGTGAAATATTTTCTCTGTATACAGAATCGCAGCGCTTTAGGCTAACTTTTTTAAATTATGTATAAAATGCTTTTTGAAGTTTTAGTTGCTATCAAGAACCCAGCCAAGATATACGTACGAAAAAAATTGATCTGAATTGTTATTTTCAAGTTTGGCGATTCTAGTTGTATTTTTGTTATTTAAATCTTGACTCAAATTTGAGTGGGATTTTTTTTTCCAATGTTTCCTGTTATAACAGTGTCATCGGTAGAAAAATTTTTTGGCAAGTTGCTTGATTTGATCAGAAATATCGTTTTTATAGATTATGAAAAGTGTCGGACCGAGCACAGAAGCTTATGGCACTCCATACGATAAAGTTTTCAGATCTGATTGCTTGTTGCAGAAAAATACCGTTTGCTGTCTTTCACCCAAGTATGATTTAAGTATCTTATGCATTGGTCCCCGTAGTCCATGGTTGACGCACTTTGTTAACAACGACTTGTGTTGAAGTGTGTCAAACGCTTCTGTTTAGTCAATGAAGACACTCTGTGTCTGCTTTTTTTCTGTGAACTGCAAAATTAAATGTAGTTTACTGAAGCCAGTAATAATTTTTGGAGGCTTAGTTTTATCCCTCATTTTTTGTTTTTTTTTGTACTACTGTAGTCCAAACTTTCTGTGCTGCTTGCGCAGGAACCAGTTATTGTTGTTCAGATTTGTTTTTGTGTCCAATTTTTTAAGTTAATTCGTTTTAGAATAGTCTGTTCTTTTTTTGCCGATTTATATTTTGCAATTATGGATTTTTTTTGGTTTAAATTTTGTTGGAATATATCATGTTTTTCTTATTATATTTTTAACAAATTATTTTTGTCGACCTAGTTCAATATGTCACTTAAATTTTTGAGTCAAAATTTTGTTCGGAGGATGGTTGTCTTACTTCTAAAAATTTCCATTTGATTAAATTTCTTTTTGTTTGAAGGTTATGTATAATAAATACACCAGTGTTTCGTATTGTGATAGTGTTATATTTTATTGCATCGCTAATGTCGTGAAGCTCCACGTCCTTTTTGTGTAATTAATTGCAACAACTTCAATTTTTGCTGCATTTAAAGACGCAATAAATTTGATTTTCTGGGTGATTTTTTTTTTTTGTTTTTTTTTGTAGCAATGATGCGAAATACAATAGTCGTAGATCCTGAGTTGATAAAAAATTGAAATAATATTTTGCAAAAAGCAGAAATAATGGCTCGCAAGAAGTTTGAAACAGCATTTCTAAACATGTTGGATGGTCGCTTTTTTTCGAATAATAAAGATTTAGAGCCTATATTTGTAGTATGTTTTTTGAGCCTCGGTTCGAGTTGGCTGATCTATTCTGTTCAAATGGAAATATCGATTCAGCCTGTTTTTTTTAAATGTTCAATTTCATAAATTAAATTAAGCTTACGCTCTTTTGATTTCGTCATTTGTGGCGCTGTGTGTTGTGTCCAGCACGTTGTAATAGTCCACGCCCATATTAAAAAGTCTGGTTATAAATGGGAAGTTGAAGATATAACTGGGAATCGATTTCGCAATTAAGGTGGTAATACACTAAATGTATACAGAAGGGTGTTGTTTCAAGCTCAATTCTTTTTTCAGTGGGCGATTTTTCAATCTATAATAATCCCTATGCAATCAATATACTCCAGTAGGAAAAGTAAAGAAGTATTGATACATATAAAGCACAAAAAAGAGTAATAAATTGTGTTATCAGGTTGAAAAATATAACTATATTAACGAAAAGCTTAAAGAGTGCTTAGTTGTATGTGAAAATGCTCAACGCAACCAAAACAAAGACTAAAAAATTAATGCTCTTTTTTCAATGCTGTTTTTAACACACGAAAAGCGCTGATATATATTTTTTACGGCCACTTGACAATATGCTGCTTTAGGTGTTTTTTGTTGTATTAAACCGTGCAAAAATGTATTACACTTTTAAAACCGCTTTGATAGCAATTGTATGAAAAAAAACGAACGTGCGTTGGTAAAAGGTACCGTAATATGAAAGATGGTTTTAGTTGATCTTCAAACCAAGACGTATTTTATATGCTGTGTAAATATTTTGTTGTGGTATGTTTCTAAGACACCAGTTATCTTGTGCTGATCAATGTAACAATTTCTTACCAATGTTTGTATGCAGATATGCGCCGCTTACTAGCTCCCTAAGCAAAACATATATTTAAAACCATTGAATATTTGCAGCTGTGTTTTTTAAAACCATCAATTCGTCTGGTATACAAACATCAATGCATTCGTTTGAACGCTTGTGAAGTCTTTCAACGAAATCTCTTGACTGTTGGTTAACTTGCGAATGTTTTCATTATGCTAACGTGCCGCAACGTCTGAATTGATAATTAATTTTTATACGCATCTTCAAAAATTATCTTTTTATAAGAATTTATTTTTGAGAGAAAAAGTCTCAAAAGTTGGGACTAGATATAACTGAGTTAAAACATGGTTGCCGAAGCTCGTGCCGACTCGTTCATGGACGTGGCGGGAGTGCGTGTGAAGCCGGCGGTGATCGAGTTCCGAGATGCAGAGGCACGCCAGGTGTACAAAAAGACCATCACTATACAAAATATCAGTCCAGCAAGTCGCAAGATCAGATTCTACGCACCCAATAACAAGGTTAATTTGCGCTAAAATTTGAAGAATTTTTTTTTCTCAGACTGCTCATATTGGCTAACCATGAACTATGAGAGAGTAAATAGAGAAAACTTGGAACCTAATTGCTTGAAATTAAGGGGGTTGCCAAAATTTACCTTCAAATCGCAGGTAGTTATGCATTACTGTTTACATTATTTTGTAAACTAAGTCAAAGTGGATTATAGTGTTTTTGAGCAAACAGGATTTTGAGTGAACACGTTTCATTGGAATTTAATTCTATAAAGAAACTAAATTTTCAGTCAAACTTTGAATTTGAAATAAATCATTCGCTGTAAACGATCAGACGCTACACGGATCACAGCTGCTTGTATTATCCAAAATTCAAAGTTTGATGCTATTTAATATGATTGCATATTTTCCCGACAAAAAAATTCTTCTTGCAAGGGCTCAAAATTATTCATTACTTTTTGCTTCTTGGTACGGGCAGTGTTGCAAAACAAAGTTCAGTGCACATCTTGAATATTAAATGAAAGCCTTAATGCGCTATGGGCTCAACCTTTTAGCTTTACTTCTTTTCAGCATAGCGCTTAAGAAATCACTCTGTAGCGAAAATGTTCTAGAAATTTTTTTCAATTCAAAATCTGGATAAGTATCAACTTTAGATCTTTATTCAGGTCAAGGTCAAATGTCTAGACAGCTTGCCTTGAAGTTTTGATAAACATTTGCAATTGGATACTTGAATGAATAACGCCAAAGTCTGAAGTTTCCAAACCTTTAGCGGGGTGCTGTTATAATGCTTTCTTCAAAGCTGCAAATCTTGCCTCCAAATATGTCTGCTCAAATCCTTTTAGCTTCCGAGATATGACGTTTTTTTCAATATGACGAAAATTTTCAAAAAAAAGTTTTAAAAACCGCACAAAATTTGAAATTAGCATCACTATGGTAGACTACTTCCAGGAATTGAAAATCTTGCCTCCAAAAACGTCTGCTCAAAACGTCTTTGAATTTGAGATATGACGTTTTTATGATTTTTAGAAAAGTTTTTTCTATGGTTTTTATGAGAAGTTTTCACAAAACTTAGGTTGAAAAACTTCGTAAAATTTGAAATTCCCAAGACTATGATTGGATGCTTTTAGGTTACTTTCAGGGGCTGCGAGTCTTGCCTCAAATATGACTGCTCAAATCCCTTTAGCTATATGACTTTTTCTTATGATTTTTGATAAAAGTTTCCAAAAATTTAGAGTTGAAAAACATCTCAAATTTTGAAATTGGAAATCGTATGGTGGAGTGGCGTCGAGGGATTTCAGGGGTGCTAAGTCAATGCGCCCAAAATTTTTGCTCAAATTCTTTTAGCGTGTGAGATATGACGTTTTTTTGACGTTTTGAAAAAAACTTTAAAACTAAAAAGTTTCAGAAAACTTGAAATTGGCAGTTCTAAAAAGGACTGCTCTCAGGGCTTTGTCGGGGTTTGCACATCTTGGCTCCAAATATGTCTGCTCAAGTCTATCCTTTTAGTTTCCGAGATATGACGTTGTTTGTGAGTTTTGAAAAGTTTTCAAAAAAATTAGATTTAAAAAACAGCACAAAATTTGAAATTAGCAACCCTATGCTCTATGGTAGGGTACTGTCGAAATAGTTTCAAGAATTGCAAATATTTTCTACATATTTGTCTGCTCAAATCTTTGTAGCTTCCGAGATCTGATATTTTTATATTCTTCGAAAATTGTTCAAAAATAAAATTTAAAAAACGCAAAAAAAAATTGAAACTAGGAATTCTATTAGAGTTCTTTGAGGGTTTGCAAATTTTGCCTCCAAACTGTACTGCTCAAAAATTTTTAGTTGGCAAGGAATCACGTTTTTTATGATTTTTTAAAAATTGTGCAGAAAATTTAGGTATAAAAAATTTCACAAAATCGAAATTAGCAAATGGCTTGATCAGAGAAACTAATTTTTGGCAATCTTTTAGGGTACAAAATATTAATTTTTATATTTTGAATGGACTTTTTACAAAAACTGTTGCCAACTGTTCAAGTAGAAATATGACAGTCTGGTTCCCTAAACTTGGATTGGTCCCTGAAGCAATTTTCAGGGCTTTAAAATCTTTGCAAACATGGTTCGCATTTATTTTTGAAGTTTTCACAAAATTTGCGTAACCGATTCTTCAAACGTGCTTTTTATTGGGAACCAAATATCATACTTATACCTCAGTTCAAGCTAAAAAAAAAACGTTTGCTTTCTGCGAGCCCATTGATTAATGAAGACGTGCTTGCTAGTAGTCTATAATGGTATTACTGCAAGTAATATAGTTTGGTTTAAAAATCTGGCTTCCTGTGCCAGTACTAACTGGTCATTGGCTGCTAGTCATATAATAATTTCGATTGGCATGACTAAATAACAAGCTTAAGTTTAATTTTTAAATACTTTTCAATCCATTTATTTTTGCTCAAATTTTTGGGCTTGCGTGAATTTTTGAATTCGTTTTTTTTGCGCAGAATAGGGTCTATGTCAGGTGAATAGATATATGTCAGGTGAAACGCGTCGTCTCTTCCATTCGGATCTAGCTGTGCAGACCGTCAGAGCCCTTGGGCTACTTTTCGGTTTTATTCTGGCCAAGCCCAAAGGTTTCTTGATTGCTCCCGAGGTTGTTCAATGTGTGTTGAGAATTACCTGTCTTTTGACACATGTATCATTGGTCGTCTGTGTTCGATATTTTGATGCGGAGTTTGTAGCACTTTAGTTTTCTCTAGAAATCGCTTCTCAACTGCCCCAGCTGGACCTTACCCTCACTCTTCGGGTTTCCTTCCATTTACTCTTTTTCTTTGGGGTTCAAGGGCAGCTGATCTTCCAGGACTCCTTTTGGTGTTAGGTTTCAACAGCTTTCTTGACGCAAGCAGTGTGGAACTGTTTGCGATTCCCTGTGTGTCTTTTTCAATGTTTGGTTCGATGCAATCCTCTTATTCCTCTGAACCAGCTTCGTGTTACGGACGACTAGTCTGTCTATTTATTTGAAGTGAATATTGAGATAGTAGTAGCATGCAAGGGCCATTCATCGGAATGCATTGCGTTTCCATTCTGAGATTTTAAATTATAAAACGCTCGCTCGCAGCGTGCCGTGGCTCTTTTCAATTCATCATTTTTGCCTTTCAGTTTGTTTCAATGAGTTTTAGCGAGCTTGGATGCCCAACAAACTCCGGAAAATTGTTCATACTTGGTTGACTGACTGCTTTGTATAGTAAAAGGCTTTTTTTAAAAAAAAAATTGATATTTTCTCCGTTTCGATTGTTGAATTTTATCTCTGCTTAATTCACAATATATTTTACGCCGGATCTCTTATGAGGTCCCTGAGAAAACATGAAAAGTAGAAAAGTTATGTCAAATTGGCTGGCTGTACCCCAGTTTTTTTAATCAATTTCTTTTATCGGTCAAACTTTTTTATGGGGGTTCGCGTCCTCATAGACAACACTTGAACCAATTTTTGAAGTGCCTTTAGTTCTGTTGAGATGATGCTCGCGTTGTTGAAAAATTTTGCTAACTTTGAGTCATCGCCGACAGTTCTAGGTTACCATTGTTTACAATTGAGTTAGTTGAGAAGCAAGGCTTGTTCTATTTGTTGGCGCCTAATTTCAAAAGTGTTAACTTGCTGTATTTAAAAAAGTTTTGCGTTTGGTTTTGGTGTTGAACCTGAAATCGGTTGCAGTGTAATTGATCATTTAAACGTCTATTGTGCCTTTTAAAGACTACGCTCGGGTACCGCGCTGGTCCTGGCCTTTGTTCAACACCACCTGCGATTTGCAGTTCTCTGATTAATGTTGCTTTTTTCCCGTCTGGGCAACCCTTGAGTTTCTTGTCAAAAACGTGTGTGAGTTGTATCGCGGATCCAACTTTTTGAGAAAAAGTCTCTTCTCGTATGGCGCTGGTTCCAATGGCGTTGGCTCAGCGTGAGCGTTAATAGCAAATTGTTAAACAGAAGCTTTCTTGTATATTGAAAAGATTCTTGAAAGTTTTCCCAGTGTCGAAGAACAGAAATCGTTCCGTTTTAAAAACTTTTTTTTTGCACTTCCTGGTAGTTTTTAGGGTAATTTTCAGTAAAATACAGTTGTAAGGTCCCATTGAGTCATAATTGGGATTCTATAAAAAGGTGTTTCAAGATTGTTCTCCCTGTCGAGAATAAATATTGTGTTATAAATCGTTTTCATCAAAAAATAGTTTTTTGACGAAATCTAAGTGCTACCAGTGTTACTTTGGACTAAGAAAAATTATGAAGAATCGAGTATTTTCAATAAAAAGGTGATGTTAGCTCACAGTTATGAAAATACAAGAGTACTGTATAATGCAAAGGCTGTATCTGAAACCTAAAGCTGATTAGTATGTGTCATATGAAGCGAATAATCAGGCGTTTGTGTTTTCCAGCAGCTGTTCAAGCTGGACGTGGTCAATCCGGACAGGCATGTGGCCAGTGGACTAGAAGTGACTGCAACTCTCCAGTTCTGCTCTGGCGCAGACAGTGCCAGTGATGTCACAGACCAACTCACGTTGCAGTCAGACCACGAGAGCGTCACCATACCCATCTTCGTGTCAGTAAAATGGATAAATTTGCCTTCATTTCTGAGGGACTGAGAACGCCTTCTTTGATGCAAAGGAACCAAACATTTACGTTTTTTTTCTCAACCAATAGCGGATTTAGGGGAAAAACTTTGCCTTCAAAAATTTGAGCCCATTATCACTCAAAAATTCTATTCCTTGATATTAATTTATTTTGACCCCTTTTTAGACCGAGGCCTGAATTTTTTCAAAAGCTGCCTATTTTGCTAATTCATTCAAATTTTGAAGAAGAAGCACCCGCAATAAAAACTCAATTTTCAGAAGAAAAAAAAACAATTGCAACCTTAGATTGTTATTTCGACAAATATTTTGAACTTCTGACTGTCACGTAATTTTTTAATAAAACAAACTCGATATTGTTAGTGCTTTGAGAGGTCTCTCAACAATTTTATCTCAGAAAATATTCTAATTACATATGACCACGAAGAAAAATTGCACCATCCGACCCGGCTCCAAACGGGATTGGGCGGAAATTGTGTTTGGTTGTTTGGGGCAATAAGTTGATCTGTAAAGTTGTACTGAAGATAGCTTTTTATTACTATTTTAGAAAGATCTCATGTATAATTTTGGTGCTCACATTTTGTTTCGACGGCTTAAATGTTAAAACTTGCCCTATAAAATCATTTAAAAAAAATACAACCGATTTCGATTTATTATCATAGAATTATGGCTGAAGAGAAATTTTTGTTCCTTGGTTTATTTGTCATTTTCAACCCTCCGGTAGCGTTTCTGTGTAAGTTCTACTTTTTGCAGGTACAAACCACAGTGTTTTTTGGATGTCGAAAAAGAGGTGAACTTTGGCAACGTGGTCAACAATTCCAAAGTGGTGTCGAAGGATATCCTCATCTCCAACTCTGGATCCCTGGCCGGCGACTTCAAAGTCAAATACTCTGGATCTCTTCCGATTACAATCACCCCTGGCACAGGGACAGTGCCTCCTCATTCCTCTGTCAAAGTCAAGGTTGACTTCGTGGCTAAGAGCGAAGGTCCCTTCGAAGAGAGCGCCAAGTTAGCATCTTTTCAATATCATATATTTTCAATGTCACATATTATTCGTTAAAATTTTTATCTTTTTTTTAATCGGAATTAGTTTTTTTGATTTTTTTCTTAAAATAACCGTTAGAAGTTAGCTTTTATGATGTATCAGAGTAATTTTTTTGCCGCTTTACCCGGCCGATCGTACAAGATTATTCTCTCAAGCTCTATAATGGCATCTGCAAAGGTGGAATCCCTCATACGCGAAGGACCGGTTGCGCGAAAATAAAAATCAGCCAATCAGATTTAGTGATCTAAAATTTGGAAAGAAAGCGTGAAAATCTGAAAGAAAGTAAATATTTTCAGGGACTTAATATTGATTTTGGCCGAAAATAATAACGGCAGAAATATGCAAAATTTTAAAATTGTTACTGACTGCCGCCGAATTGGAACAAATTTTATATTTCAAGGGTTTCGTTATGAAAGATGCAAAATATTGCTTCATTTAATTCATTTTAATGAAGTTAAACCCACGCAGAAATTGTGTTTAAACCATGTATTCAATAATTTGGGGAAAACATTCGTGTGCATTAGCTTCAAAGAGTCTTCTGTATTCTTAACCCACCCAAGGGTTGTTCTTAACCCACCCAAGTATTAAGAGATGGCGTGTTCAGTTCAATGACATGTCATTCCGTGCTTTGATGTGATTGTGTGTTGTCTATTTAGAGTGACGTTGGAGGGAAGGGAAGTGGACGTAGTGTCCATAACAGGCAATGTCGTCAAACACTCCCTCGAGATACTGGACGCAGAGAGCGGACAGCAAATGCAAAAGGTCACTTGTTAATCATACTGATGTTTATAGTATAAAAGGGACAAAGGTTTCATGCCGTGAAATTTTCACCACTTTTTTTGTTTTAACCGATGAAATGAAAAAATATTTTTCTCGCGTTTCTGTCGCTTTCCCTGCAAGTACATGGCTAGAATGAACCCTCGATTTTCCTCGAACTATTCAAAAGATCTAAACTTGGCCGTAATTTGGTTGTTAAAGTGAAACTCGATCGTTGCTATTTTGTCCTTACTTTTTCCCGGTTTGACGTCCATAGAAGAAAAATACTTAGCATAGTTTCATATATGAAGTCTATGGAAAAAATGCTTATTATACAAAATTCTTACAAAATTTAAAAAGTGTTTTAAAAATTTTAATGATCATTTTTGGTCTATTTGCCTCTTTTGAAGCTTTCTGGTCATTGAAAAATGATTTAAATTTTTCGATAAAAATTATAAGATTTGAAAATTATGATTTAGAATTTTCCATGTATGAAAATTATAAGACAGCCATTTTGTCATAGAGTTTTTTTTTCAAAAATCACCAAAGAACGTGTCGGGTAACTTAAAAAAGATTTAAGTAATTATATCTAAGATAGGGCATTTTCTTACAATCAAAAACATAATTTTAATTTTGGTCGAAAAAAATGCTTATCATATAATTTTTTTGGTTGCAAACTTGCTTTTGTTCTCTAATATAAATTTTACGAAAAACATTTTTGCATGCAAAATTTAACTTTTTGTGTTTATAACGTAGTCCATGATGAGTTTTTTACCCAAAAAATCCAAAAATCACAAAAAAAGTGTTTTTTTTTGTAAGCACGATTATTATTTTTTTTGTTTCTTTTGCTAAGATAAAAATAAATTTGTAAAAAAACGCCTTTTTTTCTACCACTAACGTTCTCAAACGAAAAACTATCTAGCCATATACAAAAAGTTACATTCTTGGTATATAATTCAATGTGAAACTGTTACAATTAATTAAATGGCTAAAATCACCTAAATTAGTTTATCTGCGTGGTAACTGCCAGTTACACTCTGGGTTTTCTGGTGACCAAAAATCCGTGGTTAGTGATTCGGATAAAACACAAAATTTCAAAATACAATCTTTTTGTATTTTCGTTTATGGAAAAAGTGCTTATCATATAATTTCATAGTATGGAAAAATGCTTATCATGCTTATCTATTTTTTTATACAATTTTTGGGATAAAAAGACTGATGAAAAAGCTCAAATTTTAATTCCAGAGTGGAAACAATGCTTGTTATAAAATTTCATACTATGAAAAATATGCTTATTTCGCTATTTTCATATACTTACTTTTTTTTAGTCTATGAAATTGTATGAAAGAGTATGATAAGGATTTTTTCATATATTAAAATTGTAAGATAAACATTTTTTGTCAACCCGGGTTATTAAAGTTAAAATGTATAGTTTGCTCAAACTACACTTTATCAAACTATAAAAGTCAAAGTATACCACCATATTCGATATGATATTTCAAACCATGCCAAAAATAAACAACTTTTTCATATTTGCTCTGGGTATGGAGTTATCGACCCAAACAAAACTTTGAATCAGCAAAATATCAGTTTGATTTTATGCTTCTTTGTTTTCAGTGATTTTTGCAATTTTTAATTTGCTTATCTAAATATGCGTTTTCAAAATGTTTTCTAGGTGAACTTTGGGAGTGCATTCTACGGAACTGACAAAGTAGTGCCTGTGATTCTCTTCAACAATGGTCCAGACCCTGTCAACTTCATCTCAGTACTGGACGAAGGCGCAGAGGGCGAGGAGGCCGTAAGTTACGGGCACAAACGTGATTTCGTTACACAAAACAACAGACTTAGACAGGCTTAAACGCATTTTAATGGTGCTAAATTATAGCTGGAATATTCTTTGAAAAAAGCCAAAAGTTGATTACTATGGACCCTGTTTTATAGAAAAAGTGCCAGATAACTTTGTTGCGCAGAAAACCAGTCGAAAACAAACA